AACTCTTCATTTTTAACCGTAAGGTAAGTTATAACTTAAACGGCATACTCCTCCTGAGTGTTTTAGAATATGGACACTCAAACTTTGTGAAAGTGAACACATTAAATAGGGCAACAACGTAAGCTGGTCCGAAAGCCAACTGACCCAACAAGCCACCGGGAACCAGAGCCGAGCGTGTGAATCAGAACTCAGTCCGGGAAGACAGGGTTTACAGATGGCCCAGAGACCGAACGGAAAGCTCCAGACACGGACAAATGACAGTTTACTTTACCAAACAGCTTACCAAGTGATCTTTATGTAAATACTGCAAATGTTACCAAGTCCCTCAAAAATCCCAACATTATTTTTACAGATTAGAAAAGAATAAAAGCCAAAAATAACACCAATAACTCAATTAAAATAACTCATGCTTGTGTTTACACAAAATTTGATGAGCATAATATATTCGTCACACCACTGTAATTATTCTCTGAAAATAATACTCTAAATATTATTTTGACAATGTAATTATAGTTCTTACCTCAAAAGTGGTTACAAAACTGGCACAGACACCCTGCTAAAATCCTACCACACATAAGGTTCTCACAGAGAAATAGTCAAAAAAATAGTGTAAGAACTTTATTAGCAACCAGAACACCTTTTAAAAGATTTGTATTAGGTTTGAACTAACATACTATAAATACTTTTAAAGTTTCATTGTTGAATACAAACTTCATTCTTGAATGAAATTACTTGGAATAAAATTCAGTAATATTGGTAGCTGCCTTTCCTCAGGAAGAGAGAGAAAACTCAGCTTGCTTTCCTCTTTGCCTCTAATAGCCTTGCAACTCAGCCTACAAGCGTAAGTTGTTTTCTTGAAATGGATACAACTACAATATTAAAGACCTAAAACAACACATGTTCCATACTCACAGGCTGGAAGACACTATCATTAACATGGCAATTCTCCCCAAAATTCCACACCATTTCTACCCTGTTTCCCTGAAAATACGACAGTGTCTTATACTAATTTTTGCTCCCAAAGATGCGCTAGGTCTTATTTTCAGGGGATGTTTTATTTTTCCATGAAGAAGAATACGGTACTCATTTATTGTTAAATGAAAATAAAGGAAATTTATTACCTGTATACGGTATGGTAGTACGGTAGTTGTCAACACAAACCAGACAAACTGTGAATCCTACAGTATCAAGAATTTACTCATTTAGCCGAAGCCGGCTTGGCTCAGTGGTAGAGCGTCGTCAGTCTGCGGACTGAAAGGTCCCAGGTTCGATTCTGGTCAAGGGCATGTACAGATTGCAGGCACATCCCCGGTGGGGAGTGTGCAGGAGGCAGCTGGTCGATGTTTCTCTCTCATCGACGTTTCTAGCTCTCTCTCTCTCCCTTCCTCTCTGTAAAAAATCAATAAAATATATATATTAAAAAAAAAAGAATTTACTCATTCAATGACAATCATGTCATCATCTTCTGGAACATAATCATAACAATCTAATTCCTGAATTTCCTGGTGAATTTCTTGTGACTCCATTTCTTTCAGAATCAATGGACCAAATCTCTCATATGTAGCCTAAGGGGGGGGCCTTATTTTCGGGGGATGCCTTATATTTCACTCAGAAGGAAACCTGTGAGTAGGTCTTATTTTCAGAGGATGTCTTATTTTCGGAGGATGTCTTATTTTCGGAGGATGTCTTATTTTCGGAGGATGTCTTATTTTCGGGAAAACACGGTAGTATCTGTGATATATAAGTAACTCCTATAATTTGACCAAAAAAAAAAGGCAAACAACCCAATAAAAACTGGGCTAAGGGCTCGAAGAGACATTTCCCCAAAGAAGACTGACAGCCAACAAGCACATAAGATATTTCACATCATTAATCTTAGAGAAATGCAAATCAAAACCACAATGAGGACCATTTCTTACCCACCAGGATGATTACAATCTAAAGAAAAGAAATGTTGGCCAGAATGTGGAGAAACTAGAACCTTGAACATCATTGGAGAAAGTGAAAATGGCTCAGCTGCTGTAGAAAAAGTCTGGCAGTTCCTTAAAAATCCTATATAATAAAAGCCTAATATGCAAATTGACCAAACAGCAGAACGACCAGTTGCTAGGACGCGCACTGACCCCCAGGGGGCAGGCACTCAACACAGGAGCTGCCCCCAGCCTGCAGGCCCCAAACAGCAGCAGGGGATGGGGCTGCCGAGTGGGCGGCTCCAGGCCAACCAAGGTGGGTGCCAGCAGGAACCCCCGAATCGCCCCACTCATCGCCCCTGATCACTGGTCAGGCCTAGGGATCCTATCTATCATGAATTTTGTGCACTGGGCCTCTAGTTTAAATAAAATCAACCCAGCAATTCCACTCCTAATATACCCAAAGGAATTGGAGGCAGGAACTCAGACAAGTACATGTACATGCATGTATTTATAAGTGGCACAACAGTGAAATGGTGGAAACAACACAAACAGTCATCAATGAATGAATGGCTAAAGAAAATGTGATCTGAGCATTCAATGGAATTATTCAGGCATAAAAAGATAAAGTTCTGATACATGCTATACTATGAATGAACCTCAAAAAAAAGTATGCTGAGAAAAAAAGCAAAACACAAAAGATCCCATAATTGTATGATTCCATTTATGGGAGATATCCAGAACAGGTAAATCCACAGACTAAATGCAGAATGGGGGGCCAGGGGCTCAGGGAGTAGGAGATGGAACACAGCTGCTCAGAGGGCCGGGGCTGCTTTTGGGGTCATACACATGTTTGCAGGTGGAGTAGCACATGTACAGCCCTGCGAATGCACTAAGGCCACTCAGCTCAGAGTGGTTATTTTTCTCTTCTGTCATGTCACCAAGAAAGTACTTAAGTTGATACAACTGCAGCTACTCCACTGTGGCCAGCTCTCAGACCTCTCACAGACAGGTCTGTGAAGATCCCGTCTCTCCAGCCTGTGGGTATCAGTGAGCAGCAAGCCCAAACCAAACAACCAATGTCCCCATCCATTCCAAACCAGTTCCTAAAGTCTCACAAATCGCCTCCTTTAAATTTGTTGATAGATCATCAGCTGGCTTCAGTGAAGAGAAAATGAATCCTGCGAGAAGGATTTGTTATAAACAATGAAAAGCAATCCGCAGCAGGTGTGGGAGAGCAGAGGAAGGAATAGCTGACTAGGAGACTGCGGAGATCAGGAGATGGGAAATGGGGGCACATTACACTCGGATGGAAGCGAGAACAGCGAACAGCTGAAGAGGCGGTGAGGGGCTAATTTCAGGGCAGAGATCTGCGTGCAGAGGGAGGCGCTGGGCCGGCTGATGGCCGTTTAATCGCAGCGTCTGCTCCCAGGGCACTTCCTGCAGCGCCTTATTTCGGGCACAGCGTCCCGGGAGAAAACTGCTGCCACCACAGCTCGCGGGATGCCAGGGCCACAAGCCCACCTCGCTTGCATCTCCCGGCCATCACAGAGCACAGCGCCTCCTGACCGCTCCCTGAACCACAGGCCACAGACTTCCAAAGCGGCTGCCCTTGCCGGGAGACAGAGAACGTCTCTGACTGCCGTGCTGAGTCCCCCACGAGCACCGGGGCTCCCGTTTTATGAAAAAATAGAGCAACCAGCAGAAGTCTGTAACATCTCAAAGGCAAGTCACAGCTACACCCACAGCCTGTCCATTTCTTGAGGATATGTGGAACATTCGTGCTGTTTAAAACACTGAGAGCAACCACTCTGGAAATTCTTAACTTAATTCAAAACCTCATTCCATGCCCAAAGGAAGAATTTAAATCAAACAGGAAATGCAGGAATTTTAACAAATGAGCTTTAAATAAAAACACGGATAAATCACAGACTAGAATGAAGCTGACAAGCCAGGCAGCATGTGTAGCCGCAGAGTTAGCCCAGCTCACTGCGCGCCTCAGCCTCCTGTCCGTACAGACCGGGACCTCCGTTCTCTCTCCAGTGGCCTCCGCGCATGACACCCACACAAAGGGGAGGACGCTCACTTAGGTACGTGTAGGCTTTAAGAACTGTACGTAAGTCAATTTATAAATCAAATCATTTTAAGTGTAGCTGGAGATTTCTCACTTTAAGAAGTATCTGTTGAATTATGTTATACCTTCTTTACTAAAAAAAATTTTAACTACAGCTTTTTAAAAGCCAGATATTTACATTGGAATTTTCTTATTAAGTGACTTGGGTTTAGCCATCAAGTATTTTAATTCTGTGTGTAAATACGTCATATATTAAAATTCTGTTTTTTAAGCATGAGGTTAAGATAATAACCCTCACTCAAAGACAAGTGTTGATGCCAGTAGTTCAAGAACCAAAAACCTAGAGAAGCTTCCTGGCCTTCCACGTAAGAGGCGTGGTTCTCCTCCGGTCCCACAGAAGCTGCCACTGGCGATCGGCACTCACCTGCCATTCTGTCCCCCTTTCTCTCTCTGTCTGACAGCATCTGGCTCTCCTCCATGGAACGGAAGCACCTGAGGGCAGGGTGTGGGGTCCCTGTTAGGCTCACCCCAACACAGACTGGGGCCTTGAACAGCCCAAACGCCTGTCTCATGGCCGGGAGGCTGAAGAGAGAGGAAGGTGTGGGCAGGGCATCGCTCCGGAGGCCTCGCTCCTTGGCTGACACACGGCTGTTCACTCCTGTGTCCTCACACGGACGGCCCTAATGTCCTCTACTCATAAGGACACGGTCACTCTGGATTAGGGCCACACACGTGACCTCACTTTACCTCCATTAACCTTCTTAAAGGCTCCGTCTCCAAATACAGTCACATGAGATACTGGGGTGAGGACTCCATCATGGGAATTGGGAGGAACCCAGCTCAGCCACAGAGGTAAGAAAGGAAGTTGCTGCAGCTTTTTAAATAATTCTTTAGTACCACTAATAAAGTCTCTCTGCACCGTCACAGAGCATCTGCCTGAATGAATGATTAATACCGTGTTCAGTTTGTAAACCTTTTTCAAATATATAAATAATTCGTGAGTCGACTGGGCATACCTGTCAGCAGGGCCTCCTGTTCCACTCGGAGTTCCCGAAAAAGAAGAATCAAGTCAACAGCAATGCCGATTGTATCCAAGTTCCTGTACCGTGATGTTAAAGGAGACAGAGTTAGGGACATTCCCAAGCCCACCTGTCACGTGATCCAAAAGCAGCGCGGAGCCTGCCAGGGACAGTGCCCATGGCCAGCGGCAAGAACAATGTTTTCCAAAGGAAGAGTTCAGAATGTGCTGCTTTCTGTGACTGCTGAACCAACAGCCATCAGCTCCCAAACCTGGGAGTGTGACCTCACGGGGCCTGGAGAGTACGAAGGGCCTGGGGTGGGCAGTGTCCTGGAGTATCAGGCGGGGCCACGGAATCACAGGTGCTATGCGAGGAAGAGGGAGAGGGAGGGGCAGGGGCAGGGGCAGGGGCAGGGAGAAGGCCACGAGCCCAGAAATGCAGGCAGCCTCTCAAAGCTGGAAGACGTTCTCCCCACAGTGTCCAGAAGGAACCTCCTGTCATCTCAGCAGGCCCAACAGATGCATTACCCAGGAAGCTCCAGGGCAGCCCCTCCTGCCTGCTGGGAATCCCTATGACACCCACCGAGGCCCACAGGACTGAGGATGTTACACCAGGAGAAGCGCTGCAGCTTGGACAAAACGCGCAGAGAAAGGATGGAATGAAAGGCAGGCAGACGCCAAAAACCCTACAGGTAGGCAGCAGGCTGATAACCACTCAGCTGCCAGCAGGTGCTCTCCTGAAGAAAAGGAAGGATGACCAAGGGCGGGACTATGGGCAGACCCAAGCCGCGGAGGCTTAAAGCTCGGCCTTGACACTTGAGTTAGCCCAACTGGATTTTGAAACCGCCTGGGGCCAGTGCCGCCCCTTCCCTTCCATTTTCTCCGCTTTAAGGGCAATGTCTAACACTGCTCTCCCATGCCTGTTACAGGGACAGCAGTCACACACACAGGCTGTTACACGGACGGCAGTCACACACACAGGCTGTTACACGGACGGCAGTCACACACACAGGCTGTTACAGGGACGGCAGTCACACACACAGGCTGTTACACGGATGGCAGTCACACGCACAGACTGTTACAGGGACAGCAGTCACACGCACAGGCTGTTACACGGACGGCAGTCACACACACAGGCTGTTACAGGGACAGCAGTCACACACCAGGCTGTTACACGGACGGCAGTCACACACACAGGCTGTTACACGGACGGCAGTCACACACACAGGCTGTTACACGGACGGCAGTCACACACCAGGCTGTTACAGGGACGGCAGTCACACACACAGGCTGTTACACGGATGGCAGTCACACGCACAGACTGTTACAGGGACAGCAGTCACACGCACAGGCTGTTACACGGACGGCAGTCACACACACAGGCTGTTACACGGACGGCAGTCACACACACAGGCTGTTACACGGACGGCAGTCACACACACAGGCTGTTACAGGGACAGCAGTCACACACCAGGCTGTTACGGGGACGGCAGTCACACACCAGGCTGTTACGGGGACGGCAGTCACACACACAGGCTGTTACACGGACGGCAGTCACACACACAGGCTGTTACACGGACGGCAGTCACACACACAGGCTGTTACACGGACGGCAGTCACACACCAGGCTGTTACAGGGACGGCAGTCACACACACAGGCTGTTACACGGATGGCAGTCACACGCACAGACTGTTACAGGGACAGCAGTCACACGCACAGGCTGTTACACGGACGGCAGTCACACACACAGGCTGTTACAGGGACAGCAGTCACACACCAGGCTGTTACGGGGACGGCAGTCACACACACAGGCTGTTACACGGACGGCAGTCACACACCAGGCTGTTACGGGGAAGGCAGTCACACACCAGGCTGTTACACGGACGGCAGTCACACACTCGGTCAGGGATGTCTCGGGCTCGTCATGGCGGCTGCTCTGAGCTGAGCTGCAGTCGGGAGTCAGAAGGGAGGTCCGGGCCGGAGTGATGAGTGCCTGCCGGACAGGTTCCTAACCTGAGTCCCAGCTCCTCTATGAGTAGATGGAACCAGCAGCACACCCTTGCTTTTCTACATGTATGGAGCCATCGCACAGGCGATCCAATAACTATCAGGCCCCGCCAGCAGGAATCACGTTGGAAGTGGGCTGCCTGTGGCTACGCCGTAGCACACCATTGATGAATTTGTTCTTAGGGTTACACAGGGCAATGCAGTCAAGCCCGGGGGTTACAAGCCAGAATGGCCGCTTCCCTCCTGAGAGGCTGCCACGCGCTGGGCCAGCCCACCAGCCCCGGCCAGTGTCTGCTCTAACTCCCCTCCCGCCCCCCGCGCCCTGGAGAGGGACAAAGGGCCCCTTCCAGCACACAGCTACCCTGTGTTCCCGAAAATAAGACAGTGTCTTATATTAACTTTTTCTCCCAAAGTTGCGCTAGGTCTTATTTTCCGGGGATGTCTTATCTTTCCATGCGCTAGGTCTCATTTTTGGAGGATGTCTTATTTTCGGGGAAACGCGGTAGTTATGTTTTTAAATGCTGACTATTATTATCAAGGTTATAATTGTTTCTATCCATTTGTCTGCAAGAGGATGGCAGGCCTGGTTTAGAACTGAAGTGAAACACCCCGGCTTTTCCCTCTCCTTTCATCTTAAAAAGCCATTCATCACAGCGAAGCCTCGGGTGGCAGAGCTGTCTGGGCAGCGCAGGCGGCCCCCTCAGGTGGCTCGGGCCCAGCCCGCCTGCACCCGTCACGGAGTGACAGGAGGCCCGGAGGCTCGTCTGCACTCAGTCCGGGACAGAAAGGCGAGCTTGCTCTTTGAGGCTCTGCCTTCATCTCAAGTGAAAATCTTTCATGAAAAGCAGATTCCATAAAATCAAAGAGGAAAGGTGCTCAGTGCTGGGAGGAGAGAGCAACAGGTCAAAGAAGGCGCATAGCGCCGGGCAGTTTCTGCTCAGCTTTTAGCCACGTTAGAAAGCAGGTAGACCGGCCAGCGTGGCCCAGTGGTTGACAGTTGACCCATGAACCAGGAGGTCACGGTTTGATTCCTGGTCAGGGCACAGGCCCGGGCTGTGGGCTCAATCCCCAGTGTGGTGTGTGCAGGAGGCAGCAGGTCAATGATTCTCTCATCATTGATGTTTCTATTCTCTCTTTATCCCTTCCTCTATGAAATAATACAAATATTTTAAATAAATAAATAAAACCGGTGGAAGTGGAGTCTTAAGACAGGTCACCTTAGGCCTTTACAACACCTGCTCCCTGTCCAAAGCGAACACCAGCGCCATTACTAATAAGTCACTGGAGCGAAGGGAAGCACTGGGAGCTCAGACACACGAGGCCCAGGCCGCACAGGCCGTGGGCAGTCCGGGGTCAGTGATCAGAAGGCAGTTCCCTCTGCTGTGGGAAACCAGTGCCTCACACACGTAAGTGCAGGGAGACGCCTAAAGACCCCGGGCTAACCACCCTCCACGCGGGCCCCCGTTCCCGTGTGCCCACGCCGCTCCCGCGCAGCAGCCGCACCGGATGGCGTCCTGGTTGGCGGAGCACTCAATGCAGGCGTTGCGCAGGCAGCGGAAGCACTCGGTGATGAGCTGCAGGCTGGAGGCCAGGTGCTCCACGCGGGGCGGCTCCCCGCAGGCCAGCTCCACGGCGCGCGCCGACCGCTTCAGGATGTCCAGGACTCTCGGGAAGATGGTCCTGGGGGCGGTTTCTCTGGAAGACGACAAAACTGTCACAAACCAGAAAAAAGCACCCTGACCTCCTGACGCCCCGAGCGGACACCCTGTACTGACTTCCGGAGGGGCGGGGGTACCTGCTGTGCCAGCTCCTCGTTCCCACACGAAATGGAGGGGCTGCCGGCACGGAGCCTGCACGCCAGGCCCGGCCTCACCGGCATTTCACGTGCTTAGCGTGTCACCTGGCCCTGAGGCAGCACCGGCCTGTCCAGTTTACAGACAACTGAGGAGAGGGGCTGCGAGCACCGTGCCCAGGGCAGCCCTGGCAGAGCCCAGTTCCGGGGGCAGTGTGACTGTGCTCCCCTCCCAGGACGGCCTGCACCCACTTTCCGGGCTGTCCGCGCTCTGGCTCTGCCCTCAGCCCAGCGGAACAGCTGCACTGTGTTCCGGACGGAGCGCGGAGCCACGGCCGTCACAGTGTGCCCTACAGGACGGCCGCCGGGGCCGTGAGGACGGAGCGGGGAGGAATAGCCATCGCTCTCTGACACACCGGGGAGAGTGTGTGCGTGCACGTATTCACTCAGCCAGCGGGGGGAGTGGGGAGGGAGACAGAGACGGAGCCGTGCCCGGGGGGGGGGGGGGGGGGGGTCCTAAGCTGTCCCCTCGGGCCCCCATTCCCACATGCCTCTCATGCCAGGAGCGGGCCTGCCCCGCTCTCATCCCGAAGCTATGCAGGAAGAATGCTGTGTACAACAGGCACCTAAACGCCCGCCAACTTCCTCATTCCGCCCGGAACAGCCTCCATTCCAGCCTTAGAGGGAGCGCTCGGTGGGGCCGAACAGGGTTCCCACAGACTCATCTGCCCCGGGCTTGTCTCCTTTCGCTCTCACCCACAATCACAGCGCCCCACGTCACCCCCGGGCCCTGCCAGCGCCTGGGGAGCTGCCCGCTCCTGCAAACTGTGGCTGGAACGCAACGCAGCCTGTCCCCTCGGCACCCCCTGCGCCGGGGAGACTCCCCCCAAGCCTCAGGGCCGCGCTGGTGCTCCAGGTGGTGTGTGTGCGTCCACCACTGATGCCCCCGCTGCCCCTTAAGATGCCCGCAGCCTCCGGAGCTCGCCTTTAGCACTGAGTCCCAAGGCGTGACTTCAAGTATTAACCTTATGTTGCCCCACCTGGCTTTCCCTTCTCGCCCTTATTTTTTATTTTATTTAACTGTTTTTGTATTTTCAGGTGCTTCGAATCTGTTTTGGAAAGAGGCGGAGTGTAAATTAGCCCATTAGGAATTGAGAAACCAGGCATAAAATAAAATAATCTGCCGCTTCTCCGCAGCCAGCGGGGTTCAGCAGCACTGAGTGCCCGGTGACAAAGGAAAGCTGAGGGCACACAGTGCCACCTCCGAACCTGGGGCAGCAGGGAGGCGGTGCCCACCTTCAGTGACAACATGCCACGGGACAGTCACTCTTTCCAGAAGCTGTAAGGAATACAAACCCAGCGCCGCGGACATCACTGTGCTGAGAAAATACCCGAGTCAAACCTTCAGAGCCTGCCGATCTCCACAGCCAAGCACACTGTACCACTTCTCCCGTCCCCGGGAGGAGATGCCCCTGAGCAATCTGCAGGCAGCTCCGCTCCCAGAGGAAGCGGACGGTGCTCACACCTGGGAGGAAGGAGGGGAAGCGGACGGTGCTCACACCTGGGAGGAAGGAGGGGAAGCGGACGGTGCTCACACCTGGGAGGAAGGAGGGGAAGCGGACGGTGCTCACACCTGGGAGGAAGGAGGGGAAGCGGGCTGGTGCTCACACCTGGGAGGAAGGAGGGGAAGCAGACGGTGCTCACACCTGGGAGGAAGGAGGGGAAGCGGGCTGGTGCTCACACCTGGGAGGAAGGAGGGGAAGCGGACGGTGCTCACACCTGGGAGGAAGGAGGGGAAGCGCGGTGCTCACACCTGGGAGGAAGGAGGGAAGCGGCTGGTGTTCACACCTGGGAGGAAGGAGGGGAAGCGGGCTGGTGTTCACACCTGGGAGGAAGGAGGGGAAGCGGACGGTGCTCACACCTGGGAGGAAGGAGGGGAAGCGGGCTGGTGTTCACACCTGGGAGGAAGGAGGGGAAGCGGGCTGGTGTTCACACCTGGGAGGAAGGAGGGGAAGCGGGCTGGTGTTCACACCTGGGAGGAAGGCGCCAGTGTGTCTTCTCTCCATGGGGCTTCTGGGAGTTCCTCTCCGCGGGGGCCAGCTGCCCACCGCGAAGGTCTCCCCAGAGTCACTCCGAACCCTTCACCTTGGGTTTCCTCAGAACTGGTGTCCAGCACAGCACAAGCTCCAATCAAACCATGGCGGACCACACACAACGGGAGAAAAGAGCTTCCTAGGGAAAATGGACAACTGATGTTCCAGCAACGGAACAATCATTCCTGAACTGCCCATGAGGGTCCCAATGTCACACGTGGATCTGTCACTCATGCGCCACGCCTTCTTCTTTCTCTTTCATCCTCTCCCAGGGGTACGTGTATTGGTTTAGAGAGAGAGGAAGGGAAAGAAACATCCATCGGTTACCTCCCATCCACACCCTGACCAGGTGTCAAACCCACACCCTAGGCATGTACCTTGACCAGGAATCTAACCAGCAACCTTTTAGTGTTAGTGAATGGGATACGCTCCACCCACCTGATTCACCGGCCAGGGCCAGGCCTTCTTCTGTATTTATCACACTTTCAGCCAGAAGAAAATGTGTAACTGAGCTAGCCAATCAAAAGGCTCCTGAACCAGATAGCTATGGCCAGCCGCTAACGAGGAGCCCTGGCGTCCACCGGCACCCAGTAATTCCCAGGTGCGGTCAGAGAGAAGGGAGTGGAGCTCTGACCACTGCCCTGTCCTGCCCCGGGTCGCACACTCACAAACTCCTGAGCATGCCCAGCCCCTGCCCCATGTCTGCTCATAGTGCGCCCGCCACCAGAATGCCCTCCACACCTTCCCGGCCAGCGCTCTGCCTGCGAGTCTGTGGGTCCCTTCATTCTCAGCCCGGGACTCCCCACTGGCCCCGTGAACCAGTCCCACCCCCACACACACTGGCACTCCGGCCAGAAGATGCAGTGGCACCAACATCCAGCTTATAATCCCCCATAGAGCCTATCTTATCTATTTCTCTTCAGCCCCACGGCCCGGAGCTGGCATTCATAAACATTGTGTCCAAGTCTAAAGTTAGTGCTGAGACTCTCTGCACACTGAGTGCCTCTGACTGTGACCCAAAGCCCGGGAGCCAGGCCTGAGTCCCCAGTGGAACCAGCGCCCGGGGAGGAACTCTGAGGCCTCCGCTCCCCTCTTCCGTCTCCATTAAGAACCCACAGATCCTGGGCCCAAACATGAAAAATGCCCCATGGTAAGAGGCAGAGATCTTCTGGCTGCCATTTAACAAACATCTCCTTTCTCTCCTACACCGCGCCCTCAGTGGATAAGTACAAAGGGGGAGGGAGAGGAACTGTAACCCGATTAACTCCATTTATAATTTCTCGAGAGCAGAGACGATTTCTTAGACGTCTGTATCCCCCCATAGAGGGGCAGGGAGACACTTTCTGGACTCCGGGAATACCGGGCTATGGGTTAGTCACAATACTGTGTACAGTGTAACACATTAACAGCCTTCATCAGACCGGGACAAGGAGCTTTTACTCACCAACAGTACAACTCCTCCATACTTCCTTACCTTCTGAACGGCCTTGACAGAAAGCGTTTTTGGCATTACAGACCCAAAGTAGTTAAAATGTACTCGATCTGCAAATTCTAAGTTCACTGTCAAGACAGCACAGCTAAGTATGTGTAATGATTAATGACAGTGAAATAACTAATAACGATCAGTCAATCGTTCCTATATTACAAATGTTAATAACAAAAATTGCTGTCATTTCTGCTTTAACCAAAGTAACACAAAATATTCACAAGGACTTAAAAAAGCTTAGCTACTTCATTCACAGAAGGCAGAAAGTACTTAAGAGGACAATTAAATTCTACCGTTAGACATTCCTATTAGGTAGGAATGCATACCCTGAAGACAACATATAAATGAAATGTTACATTACACACACACACACACACACACACACACACACAAAGGCCGCAAAAAAAGCCTTTGAATTATACAAAAGGTAGAATTTCATTTCCTTCAAGTTTGAACAGATCTGTAGGTATAATCTCGGCAAGTCCTGTTTGAGCAAAATTAAAGAAAACTACCCATGATTACATGTAACAGGTTGGAGAGGTCTAATAAACTCTGTATACACATTTTACAGGCAATTCATCAGGTGGAACCTCCTACTGAAAGGGAAGCTAAATGCTAGTCATTGTAATGTATAACTAAGACTCTCACACTTGCTAAAAGATTTATTCTAATACCTTAGATTTAATTAAAAACTGGCATATGCGGTTTAGAGTAGTTTAACCACTGTCACTAAGAAAAACTCTTAAAATGCATACAAGTTCAGAGATTAAAGGAACAATCACTGGTTGTTATTTAAAACCGTAAGTGCTGCCTCCTGATGTGCCTGGGCTGAATGAGCAAAAACAGAAAATAAAACATTTCTCTCCTGCCAAACGCAGCCCCGGGCAACATTTTGCAATTCATCTCTGCAGCCTCAGACTCCCCTTTGACTGACTTTTCTCAGCTTGTCACACCCAGGACTCCCCAGGTGTCCCTGTCAGCCCGCCCACCGGGGTTGGCAAACTCTTTCCAGAAAGGGTCAGGGACTCCCTTCAGGCTGGGAGGGGTGACAATCTGTCACAACCTCTCACCTCTGCTGCTGGGACAAAGGCAGTCTTAGCCACACTAACCGGCTGTGTCCTCAGGAAACCATTTTTATGGCACCGACACTTAAGAGTTCACATAATTTTCACATGTCATGAAATTTTATTTATTTTCCCCAACCATTTAAAAATGTAAAACTCATTCTTTTTAAAAATATATACCTATATGGCCGAAACCGGTTTGGCTCAGTGGTAGAGCATCAGTCTATGGACTGAAAGGTTCCAGGTTCGATTCCGGACAA